GAAAGTTATTGCCCAAGGCTCGTTAACCCTTGCGTAACCCCAGCTTCTTATTCAAAATGGTAAAATATGCAGCGGTGCCCACTTTGCCTGCCTATTCTGTGCCCAAAACGGCGTTGGGCAATGCAAAATACAAGTGGGTCATGTGTAAGTGAGCCCCCTCTGTCGGTTTCTGGTGTGAAAGTTATTGCCCAAGGCTCGTTAACCCTTGCGTAACCCCAGCTTCTTATTCAAAATGGTAAAATATGCAGCGGTGCCCACTTTGCCAGCCTATTCTGTGCCCAAAACGGCGTTGGGCAATGCAAAATACAAGTGGGTCATGTGCAAGTCAGTCCCCTCTGTCGGTTTCTGGTGTGAAAGTTATTGCCCAAGGCTCGTTAACCCTTGCGTAACCCCAGCTTCTTATTCAAAATGGTAAAATATGCAGCGGTGCCCACTTTACCAGCCTATTCCGTGCCCAAAATAGCATTGGGCCAGGCAAAATACTATTGTAATTTGTGTTAGAGTTATGATTTATTATTAATACCCTGATATTTGAGTGATCCAACTTGGTTTAATGGTTTAAATACAACATGTTCTGAATAAGAAGCTGGGACACGAATAAGAAGTGAATAAGAAGCTGGATCTCGAATAAGAAGTGAATAAGAAGCTGGCCGAATAAGAAGCTAACTTCAGCCTCGTCCAATATACATTGAATCACAAAAAGAAGATTCCTAAGAGCACAATTGCACCATGGTGCAAAAACAAAGATCCAAGGTGTGGATGCTCAACAATCCACATAATTTTTATATGAAATTACCAAGATCCCACTGTGAAATCACAGATCCCATCTGTGCCCACAGACAGATCCATAAAAACCAGAACCATTATGGCATTGCAAAGGTGCAACAACATGGATGCAAAGCACACTTTATGGCTCAACATGGCTTTCTCCTTAAGGAATGTTTTGATTTCTCCTTACAGTCCCTCCTATAGAAACTGTGATAAGCCAACCAAACTGCAAAGAGTTAAGGTCTAAAGAAGAGTTAAGAAACACAAAACATATATATAGACCAGTGGTCCAGAGCACAGCTGGAATCCAGATACAGTACAGAAAAGACAAAATAGAGGGTTTCTACCCAGAACAAACAACATTTGATAAATTTCTATTAGGCTCAAAAGACAAAATAATTAAGAAAATGTATACTTATTTGTTAAAAATTAAAATGCAAGGCGAGATGGTTAAATAATGTATGATTGTGGGCACAAAATATAGGTCATACTATTGATATTGATCAATGGACACAAATATGGCAAAATAATATAAAGCTTACAAAATTGGTTAATTTAAAAGAGAACATATGCAAGATGTTTTACAGGTGGCATATGACTCTGGAAAAATTGTCAAAGATTTATACAGATGTGTCAAATGTTTGTTGGAAATGTGAAGCGCACGAGGGAAGCTTTTACCTTTTGTGGTGGACTTGTAGAGTAGCGAAACAATATTGAATAGGAGTGCATACTTTGTTACAAAAATATTGCTTTGTAAGATTCCACTAACTCCAGAACTTTCTGTTGAGTGTGATACCAGATAATATAGATAAGGCAAAAAGTTCTTAGTTTTATATTTATAGTCACTGCAGAGATTAGTAGAAAAGTGGAAAGTTTGAATTTTGATATTGCAATATGAATAGATTGGAAATCAGTATATTTTGTGTTTATCCTCCCCCTCTTCCCCCACTTACGTTTCCCTTTACCTCCTGTATCCCATACCCTATCCCAAGTTATTAAATAAATAAATAAAAGATAGAAACTGTGATAAGCATGTAGCATCAACATCCACAAAGGCGTTTCATTTAATAAAAAGAGGGGTACATTTGGCAAGAGCAAATACATTGCATAATGGCAGGGGTGACCTGAATACAGTAGCAGATCAGAACACACAGGGCCAAGAAGATGACCAACCCAGCAAATAGTGATTGTACCCATCCAGGGAGCCAATCAGTCAACCATGCCCACGAGGCAAGGTCTCTGGTGTCATCTGGATACCACTATATGCAAAGGGCAGATGAGGCTCACTCAGCAGACCTGGATAGGGCATGCTGGGAGGGATCAAAGGGACAGGTTACATGTCTGTCGCCTGCCCATTGAACCTGGATGTGGTTCCAGACTATTAGTGTTAGGGCCCCTGTGGGTATGATGGGCCAGCCCTGAGTGCCATTAGATGCCCCATGCTACAAACCCAACAGTCAATGATGTTAACATCTGGGGGCATTAATTTGGTTCACAAACTCACAAAGTACCCCAGATCTACGATATTCCACTTGTTCCAAGAGGATTCCACATAAAATGCATGCATGTTTCTATGCCATGAAGCTATGGTAAAGAGCAGAATTTGTGGTCTTGATAGTTTATGCCATAGGCGTAGGTTTTACTTAGTGGGTAGGAATGTGATGCACAATCCAATTATGATTTTGCTGGGGTTTTGTAAAAACCCAACTAATCCATGCCAGAGAGCTAGATTTTTATACCACTGTAGCATCCTTAACAAAGGATGTGCTTTTTTTAATGGTTCAGTGTGTGGGCACAGATTATTTGTACATTTAGATGGTGGTTCAGTGATAGAGAAGTTTTTTTTTTATTTCTGCCTAGTGTTGCTCTAATACTACTTGCCAACACCAATTGCTAAATTCTCTGTTGTCTTTGCTCTGAAGCAAGATGAGCAACATATTTGCAGTCCTGTAATCTCAGAGCCTCATAAACCTCAAGCATACTTTGCATATTTGAAAATGAATAGATTACTGTTTAAACTAGTTATAAAGCTAAAACTCCTGCTCTCTTATCACATATGCTTTCTAACTATGTATGTTAGGTAAGTGTTTTAAGAGTCTTTTCTAATAGGTAAATAAGATGTATATGTTTTCTTGGGATTGGTAGCTTTTAGGATCCCCATTCTAATTGGTGGCCCTAAATCTTAAATACTGTTTTTTTTAATTGTTGAAAGCCACCTTGGGTCCTTTTAAAGGAGAAAAGCTGGTGAAAAATATTTTCGAATAAATGCAATATAAATAAATAAGTAAGAACAAAGTACAGTATAAAAGTTTGCTTGCTGCACCATGAGGGTGTACTCTTGAAGACTCCTGACTACGAGGGGGTGCTGATAAGTATTGAACCGTTCCCAGAAAAAAATTGAGCTAGGAAGTTGTAACTGCCACACTACAGTATTCTACATATTCCCCCAGGAAGCCAATGCACTTGCAACATCTAAAATTCTTCCGACTACTGGTGTAACCACTCATTTGCAGCATTAGTTGCCTCCAGAACACTCCCAAATCATTGTCCTCTAGGTGTTATTGGAGTTTGGGGAACAGATAATAGTCAGAAGGAGCCAGGTTGGGAGAATAAGGTGGATGGGGCATCACTTGAAAGCCTAAGGGCATCAGTTTTGTCATTGTTTCACCTGCAGTGTGTGATGAGGTGTTGTCATGCAACAGGATGACACCTTTGGAGAGCTTTCCTCGATGTTTATCCTTGATGTTTTGGCTCAACTTTGTCAATAAAACACCGTAATATTTTGCATTGATGGTTGAACCCTGTTGGAGGGAGTCCACCAGTAGAACTCCCTTCTTATACCAAAAAACTGTTGCTATTTGCTTCTGCACTGACCTTTGCACTCAGAACTTCTTTGGCCTGGGGGAACCACTGTGCCTCCATTTCTTTGTTTTAGGATCATAACAGTAGATCCATGTCTCATCACCAGTTACCAGTTTTCCCAGGAAATCTGACTCCTTTCTTGCAAAATGTTCCAAAACAGTCACTGATGACTCCACATGTTTCCTCCTTTGTTCGGCTGTCAAAAGTTTGGGGATCTGCTGTGCTGCCAGCTTTCTCATTTCCAAGTCATTGTGGATAATGGCACCAACTCTCTCACGTGATATTCTCAGATATACTGTATAGCAATACTGTACTTTTGGCTGATATTTGTTGGTCCTCCATGATCATGTCATGGATGGCTTTCACATTTGCAGGCACAGAGATAGAAACAGGCCTTCCACTGGGTTTCTCACTTTCAACACCGAAATGGCCAGTTTTAAGATTGACAACCCAACGTTTAACTGTTGCACATGAAGGGCCACTATCACCCATAGTTTGTGATATTTCATCATGCACCTGCTTTGCACCTTTCCCTTGGAGAAACAGGAACTTGATTATGGTCCTATGCTCTTCCACAGTGAACTTTTCTGGAGGTGCTGCCATGTTCACTTTGGACCTGAACATGAAAGATAAGTTAAAATCATAGTCTCGAAAGACTATGGTAATGTGCTCTGTATGGAGGACTTGGAACAGCCACACTAGAAGTTAAAATCATAGGTAGTTGATTTTTGCACCATTGAATACAGACATTACACCCTGCAATTTATAGCTTCCTAGCCACTATGTTTTTTTGTCTTTTTAAAAAAAACTTTTAAAATTTTTGTTTTTACCAATAATGCTTGCACAGACTAACATGGCTACCCCTTCTACAGCTTCATTTATGGATTTATCATTGCATCTGTACTTACAGGTAGGATCTATATGGCGGCAGAGTTTTGCTGCAAGTCTTCATTGGCCTATATTATATTATATTTTCATGTTATTCATCCTGTGAAGTTGCCAACCCTATCCTTGTCCACACACTGAACCATAAAAAATGTGGCTTTCTTGGTGCATGCTACAGGTGTGGTATCAAACCTTGGATTAAAGGCATGAGTCCTGAGATAACTTTTAGCTCCTCTCTGTGATTCCAAGTGAACAGATCAAACCATAAAAGTCACAGATATTTTGCTGGACGGGTGCATTATAACACAAAAGGATAGATCTATGTGGTTTTAATTCAAGGTTGATAACAAAGAATCGTATATCAGTGTCTACTCACAGACTGACCACAGAAGTCACAGGAATGACATGGCTTTAAAAATATAGGTCCCACATATGGAGCCTGAGGAAAGTGACCTTTATGAGTCAAAGAAAAAAAAACATAAAAATATAGAAAACACTAGTGCCTATGACAAGTGTCAATGCTTTTTGCCAGCTCCTGACATGAGAATGCAAAACACAGTTCCTCAAGCATTCAGAAGGATTTCATGTGGTGTCCTTCAAATACCACTGCCAAATTCTACATTTCATCTGTGTGGACAAAGTGAACCATACAAATCCTGGCTCCCTTGCTGCGTGGTGTCAGCATGGGTCAAGAACATGGATTTGAGATATGAATTGTTATGGACCCACAAGGCATCACGCTAAACCACCATCAAATCATAAATCCCATTTGTGCTCATTTTGCCATCAAAAATATCCACAGAATCACCAAGTCTTGGCCAAATTAGGGAGGAGGGGAACGATAGAGAAAAACACACAGTCAGTACTGCGACACTTTAAAGATTAATAGATGTAATGTAATGTGAGCTTCCATGGATCAAAATCTACTTTTTCAGACACAGGTAAAATAATATGTCTAACCTTTGCCCACAGATTGCATCATAAAATTAGAAAGCCCTCACTGCTGGGTGCTGTCATAGCACGAAAACAAATCAGAGCATCTCATGCAACTGTGTGGTTTATACATGGGTTACATCCCAAACCTCAAGATAATAATGAATCCCATTGGTATCCACAGAATTTACTGTGAGGCATGCAGATAATTAATTAAAAGATAAGACATTTATGGTATTTTATGGGGCACACGTTCCCGAGATACCTACATATGTCTTGAAACTGACCACTCACACAGTCATCCAAGAACAGAAAGAGCCTTTTTGTGCCCCCCCCCCCCCAATTTGCAGCCATGGAATAACTGTGGGAACTGCCAAAATGCCCCCGGGGACTGTGAGGAATGAAGCCTTGAATTCATTTTTACACTATGACAGTGTCATGCAACAGCAGCACCAAGATTTGATGGTCATTTCAGAAGAATCTCATGTAAGAATCTTATGGATCCATGAGGTTTTTATTATTGGATGTGTGTTTTTGCACAATGCTACCGTTCCGCAGCAGATAATATTTTATAGTTTATTCCATTCATAAAGGTGGGGTTAATGATTTAATGGTAATTTGAGGTGGATCCTATGGAGCGATTACATGGATCCATGAGTTTCCATGTGTTTAATCCATGTTTTTTCACTTTGCTGATATCCTGTAGTGAAAGAGTCCTTATTGTTATGTTATTGCCCATTGGTACTAATTAAATCTATAATTTTATAGTGGTCTCTTATGGAAATCTTGTGAAAATCATTAAGATCTGTGAGGATCTATGCTTCAGATCCATGGTGTGATTCCACTGCATCAGCCACGGATCTGTGACTTGCTCGTTTTACTATGTGAACATACATTCTATGATTTATCATTGGTCCAATGTGGACACCATATAAAAATCCTGTGGATCCATAATGACCAAGATAATCACATGTTTCTGTGCCCAGCCGACACACTGCAGTTAAAGAGTTATAATTTTTATGGTTCAGTCAGTGTGTACTGATTGCTTCTACACTGTAGTGGTGGTCCCCCCCCCAAAAAAAAACTCTTAATAAAAACATACAAAGTGGTCCTTGTGCACAGCTAAGATGTATGAACTGATGGTGATTTCTGCAGGACCCATGTAAAAATAATGTGGATTCTTGAGGATCCATCCCTCAGATCTATGTTTGTCTCCTTAGCACAGTGAAGAAGCTCTCATCTATATGGTTTGCCCTTTGGACACAGATCAGATATATGACGTGACAGTGGTTTAGGAAACCCCCTATGTAAAATTCACGTAAATTTATGCAGATCCATATTTTCATACCAATGCAGTGCCATATAGCAGTGATTTTATGGTTTAGTCTGTGAGCACAGATGGACTCTATGATCTGACAGTGGTTTAGGCACCTCATGTAAAAATCAGATGAAATCAAGAGGATCCAGTTTTGATTTAATGGCTCTGTTTTTAAAAATCTGGTTTACAGTTTTTCTAAAGTAGTGGTGAAAACACTTGTGTCCATTATTATAAGTGTAATCTTTTGGGGAAAGTAGGTAGAGATGTGTTAAGTCTTTTAAATAAAAACCTTAAAAACATTATTTACAAACACTTTTGGGGACAGCATTCCAGTTTATTACAAGAATGCATTATTGTTTAAATAGACATATATACCTGCTGGGAGAAGGAGGTGAATAAATATGCAACACTGGACAGTCTTGGCTGTCTCAAAGCCGTTGTAATGTCCTTTCTCTTTAACAGGCTCTCTGCCAGGTTAGATTTTGCTCCTCCTTTACCAGGAAATAAAGTCCTGGGGGAAATCCACTCCTGTTCCGAGCACTGTGAAACGAGAAACACACGCTCTTTGCACGGTAAGTGTTTCCTTCTTGTTTTCAGCTTTCTCCCCCTCGTTTGCTTCTGGGTGGGCACTGGGAATCTCCAGTTTTTGCACGGATAACCAGATTATTTCCTTCTGATTTATTTTGAAGACTATGTGCCGATCAAGATTTAAGGCGTTAGGGAGTTTAATGCCAGCAGCACCTGCAAGCTCTTTCTCAATTGTTCTGAGTTTTTATAATTATGATTATATTGATTTTTAAACTGGAGCCTGGTTGGTAATTATTAAAGACAACAATGTCCCTCAATTTTTGAAAGTTCCTAGAAGTTCCTGAAGAGTGTGAGATTCACTCCCACCTAGGAGACTGATTACAGTAGTTTCCTATGGGGAAGAAAACAAAAGGGAAGAAAATAAGAGAAAGAAATAATTCTAGTCCCAGTTCATGCCCAGCAACGTGGCTTGATGATATACTACTCTTCCAGGAGCAGGTAAGTAAGTGATCTCTCCCTTCTCTCCATATAAATATGCAACTTTGAACTCTGGTTGTGAGGGTGTGGTTACACTATGAAAATGAATCAGCAGTTTTCAGACTGTGATTCTAATGCATCTGCAGCCCCCCCTTTTTTTTACAAAAACAGAGAATTAAAAACATCATCAATATCCCAGGAGCCAGAAAGAGTCCATAATAAGCAAAGAGATTCTTGTTAAAACATAAAACTTTGCTGGAGAGACAATTCTGGCTATTTTTCATTTATTGAGGTTTGGGACCTCAATATCTGGCTGATCGCCTTCTTCCAGTTAGACCTGCCTGGCCTATAAGATCATCCCAGGCAGGGCGGCTGAGAGTTCTGAACCCGAGAGAGGCCCAAAAAACAACTACTAGAAATCAGGCCTTCTTGGTGGTAGCTCCACAACTATGGAACTCTCTTCCACCTGAAGTCCGCCTGGCCCCTTCAAAGGGCACATTTAGGAAGCTGTTTAAAACCTGGCTATTTAAGCAGGCCTTCCCTGAACGAACAACTGTATGATACAACCGTGTTTGCTAAAATATCATCCATCACACTGCCATGCTCATTGTCTTTTATATTTTATGTTTTTAATTGTAATTTATTGTACTGTATTTGTGTTGACTGTGCCAAGAAAGAGGAGTAGGAGAGCTTAAAATCATCAGAATCAATACAGACAGAGTTGGATTCCAAACTCTGCAACAAAGATGAAGATACTGTAATTATGACCATTACCTTTCACGTTTACAACAGAAGTATCGCTACAGATAATATTTAATATAAATGGTCTAACTAATCATGTTAAAAGACAAAGAATAAAGAGAGTAACAGAACAAGAAGATCCTGATATTTTGTGTCTGCAAGAGACACATATTAAAGGAGACCCACCAGCAGTGGTCATACAAACTATATGTATTTTCAGCTCCAGGCTCTACTAAGTCAAGATGAGTCCTTGTTGCTCTTTCGGCTCTCATGCTTTTTTAAACCACTGAATGAATGTAAAGATCCCAAGGGATTGCTCCTTTTTGTTAAAGAAGAAGGAATCAAAATCACTTGTAGATCCATCTACACCCCAAACATCAACCAATGTTCTTGATGGAAACACTAATCTTATTGGAATCCTTTAAGAAGCAGTAACCAAAGTATACAGTACAGTAGTTGGTAAACTTTTAACACCAATGGAAAACATAATATTATTGGTTAACAATGACCATAAGAGTCTGAATGCTAAGATTTATGCTATATTCATTAGTACAAAACCTACTATTAGGACAGAATAAGGAGAGACAGAATGATTTCCTATAGGCAAAGGTGTCAGATAAGGGTGCATTTTATCCCCTAAGAAAGATTTTTAAAAGCGGGATTTAGTTTAGTCTTTTAAAGTAATGTTATAATTTATGTTTCTTTTCTGTACACCACCCAGAATAGCGATTTGCTAGATAGGGAGTACAGTATATAAATTGAATAATAAATAAATAGTATGGTTTGTAATTTTGTTGCTTTTAAACCTGTTTTAGTAATTCTTTTACCTCACATTTTAAATATGATGTTTATTTTATAATTTTTAGAATATGAATAATTTGCTTTTAATATTATGTTTGTAATGATGTAAGCTGCCACGAGTCCTTTTTAAAATCTTAAATAAAATACATAAATAAACTTTGCTCTTCCATAAGACAGGATGCCTGAGTTCTTGAATAATGTGGGCCTTCCAGATAATTAATGTATAAGTCTTAATATGCCTTGTTTAAGTTCTCTTAAACTTGTTGAATACAAGTCAATCTATGGTTTATAATTTCAACAGGAACTAGTTCTGATTATTTCTTGGCTTGGTTTGATCACAGTAGTCATTATATGCCTGTTTGCTAATTAGTTCCCCTGTGATTGCTGGAGGAGGCTGATTCTGTTGGGTGGAACTGGGTGTGCCCTGGTATTAGCACCTTCAGGGTGCAGGGCGCTGCATAATGACTTCCACTTCCAGGCTGAACTGGTTTCCTCAGTTTGCTGGAGGATTAAATCCAGTGAATACAGTGCCTTAGCATAAGCTAACAGTAGGCAAAGCATATCCAAGGCAATTAAGATCAGCCGAGGAGGCCCTCCTCTCTGTCCCATTGCCAGCACAAGCACAGCTGATGGGGACACGGGAGAGGGCCTTCTCCGTGGCAGCTCCCAGGCTGTGGCACGCTCTCCCTCGGGAGACCAGGCTGGCCCCCTCCCTTTTATCCTTCCACTGACAGCTGAAGAACACCCATCTTTTGAGGCAGGCTTTTAACAATTACAACTGAACCCCTGGACCCCATTTTAGCAGATAGTTTTAATCTTGTCTATGTGTTTATGCTTTCATCTTTTAATTGTATTTTAAATCGTATATATGGTTTAATTTATCTTTTAATATTTAACCTACATATTGTGTTTTTAAATTGTGTGAATTTTAATGTTGTGAGCCGCTTTGGGTCCCTTGTTGGGAGAAACGTGGCATATAAATGAAACTAATAATGATAATAATAATCCTCAAAACCCCACCTGTTTGTAGTTAAAGGGTGAGAGAATGAGTCAGAAGCAGTGGTATTCCTGTTGCACACCTTCATTCTCGCGCAGAACGTCTGTGTGTTTGGATTGCAGCTCCCATCATCCTCAGCCAGGAGGCTGCCTGGAAATGAGGGACATTGGATCTCGTACATACCTGGAGAGGACTGGGTTGGTGGAAGGCTGCTGTAGCATCTTCTAGCAGGCATTTTCAATCAGATTTCTCATCTAATCTCTGGCACACTCTTTGCAGCCCACATCAGACAACAACATGCCAGCTGAATCAATCATCCGGATCCCTCCATACCATTATACCCATGTTTTGGACCAGAATACGAATGTGACTCGAGTGGAGGTGGGGCCCAAGACCTACATCCGCCAGGACAATGAGAGGTGAGCAAGGGAGAAATTGGAAGGATGTGAATGACGGTCAACAAATACCTGCTTAACTTATTAACTTCTGCTTCCTTGACAACAGTTCTGTCTCTGTCCTGTATTAAAAGAAAGATCCCCACCTTTCTTCCAAGCTTTCTATGGTTCCTGGAGGGGCCCAGGAAGAGGCAAAGGGTTTTCTGCCTTGCAGAAAGAGGGAAACAGTGGATGTGACAGTGGCAGTTTATTTATTTTATTTTATTTATATCCCACCTATCTGGTCTTGCGACCACTATAGGCGGCTTCCAAATGCATACATAAAATAACATATAAATATAACACAAAGAAATTATTACATCAGGTAATAAATTATTCAAGTTGGGCAGGAAAGAAGAGAAGAAAAAAGAAAAAAAGAATCAAATATTAACTGGAGGGAAGGCCTGTGTGAACATCCATGTTTTTAATTGGTTTTAAAGATACCTAGCGAGGGGGCTGCAAGAATCACCGGAGGGAGATTGTTCCAGAGGCGAGGAGCCACCACCGAGAAGACCCGGTATCTGTTTTTTTCCTTCCGGGCCTCTCTCGGTGTCAAGCTCCTCAGCTTCACCTCCTGACTCGCTCTGGTGATACGGGTAGACCTTGGTGGGAGTAGGCGTTCCACCAAATATCGAGGCCCTAAACCGTTCAGGGCTTTATAGGTAAGCATTTTGCTGTATCCTGCAAATTGGAAAAGTATCTGTTTCTCAGAGATGTAAATGGAGAGGCACATGGGGGATTCTTCCTTAGAGACCTAAGGGCAGAGGCTGCGAAAATCCTTATTGCTTCTATTCTTAGCATAATTCCTCACTGATAAAGGTCTCCCAAGAGGCAAAGGGACAGCTGTCCATGCCAAGATGGTAAGTGGCAGAGATGGTGCCTGGATGGATGTTTAGCTGAGAGGCCACTTAAGGGAAGTGAAAGAAGTTACATATCATTTGGATCAGATATTGGTTTCCATTCCCTGTTCTGTCATTTTGCCAAAAACTGTTGTCAGATCGTTGTTCCTGTTTGGGTTTCCTCCCCCTCCCACAAAATGCATTCTTCCCTGCTTCTAATACGTGATTTTCTGATGGCTGTTGCTGAAGCTTCCTATAAAAACGTGTCATTCATTTCCGTAAGGCCTGCTTGCCTAAACCTGCCAAGATGGATCAATGCATCTTGTGAGACAAAAGCGATATAAGCCTTGCAAGATGATGAGTCAAGGAAAAGCATCTCTCCAGAGCTTTAGTTGCTAAGGAGGGCAGATCAGCTTCCATGGTACCTAAGAGTCCAAAATCTTAGCTGCCTATGTAAATTTTTTTCCATCAAAACCTCTCTCCCATTCTAGGATCATATTTCACCCAGTGAAGATGGTGATGGTCCCCCCACGCCATTACTGTATCGTCCTCAATCCAGTGGTTCGGGGAGCAGATGATGAAGTTGAACTCGATAGCATGGGGCAGGTGCGGCTCAGACATGCTGACCTAGACATCCGACTGGCTCAGGACCCTTTCCCTTTGTATCCAGGAGAGGAGCTGCAGCAGGTAAGGATGGGTGAATGTCTCCATTTCATAGAGGGGCCTTCAGGCAGGACGTAAGAGCTGTCTTTTGGCAGTGCCAAACCGCCTTGAGCATATGTGCACATATCCCATGTACACTGAGGGGATTCTCGGTGGTGTAGTCCAAGACCCAAATCCAACAGGTCGTCCTGCTAGAGTAGATCTATTGATCAGTGGCATTTACATAAAGGGTTGACCAGCCTTTGAGTAATTGATTTAAAGGCTTTGCTCTAGCTGGAACTACCAGTTAGATTTGGGGGGGGGGGCAAGCCTGACTTTTTCAAGTGCTGCTCAGTTGCTTTTGCTGCTTTGACTCTCCTTACTCATGGCCCTTTCCACACCTCTCTATACAGGATGTTACACCTCTGCAGGTCGTCTTAGCTAACACCGCCCTCCACCTGAAGGCCCTCTTGGACTTTGAGGATGATCAAGGGGGCAAGTACATCGCTGGAGATGAGTGGTTATTTGAAGGGCCTGGTAAGAGACAGTGATTGTGGGAGAAAACCCAACTTTGTAGTCAAGTGCACGCTTTGGACACAGAAAGTCTTAGCTTCAGTCTGTTGGCAGAATCAAGTAGCGGGAAATGGAAGAGATGTCCTCATGAGATAATTGATGTTGATACTCAGAATCAACCAACCTTCGTCAGTCTGGTGGCCTCTAGAATGTCACATTATAACTCCCATCATCATGCACTTAATCCATGGGCCACTGAGCGTGGTGCCAGGTGTAGTACAGCAGTCCTGGAGGAAAGCTGGAGAAGTCAGTACTGGATTAGAAGGGCAGGCAAGGTGGCCCAGTTCAAGATGGCGTCTTCCTTCCTCCTAAACATGGTGTGAGACCTAACTTTTGTGTGCATCAAGCCTGTGTCTTTGTTGTTGTTGTTTGCAGGCACATACATCCCCCGCAAGGAGGTTGAGGTAGTGGAGACTATCCAGGCCACAATCATTCGGCCCAACCAAGCCATAAGAATTCAGGCACGGAAAGAGTGCAAGGACCGAGAGGGGAATAAACGTGTGACAGGTATATTGACTGTCCCGCTTAGGGTCTTGTGATGGGCTCCTCCTCCTGCCGCCCCCCCGCAACGGTGACATGACATCTCCGTTTCCTTTGCAGGTGAAGAATGGCTTGTGAAACGGGTTGGGGCTTACCTGCCTGGTGTGTTTGAAGAAGTCATTGATACGGTGGATGCCTACGTCCTGACCGAAAAGGTGACTGAGGGGTTGACTGCCTCTGATGATGAGTGGAAGAGTTTTGAGTGTGTGTGTGATGGGCAGAGGGCTTTTCAAATTATTGGCTATTTGTCATTGCAGAGTGCAGCAGCCCTGTGCTGAGCTTGTGACTATTGAGGAGACTGAGGAGATTGATAATTAAATGAAACAGCCACAACATAAACCCTGAACGTGATTGTTTTTTTGTAGATGCTGGCAGTCTCAAGAGGTTCCGAGGGCACATGCAGCCATGTTTTGAGGGGTACATTCACTTTCACCACTTGTCCCCCGAATTTTTTGAATTACAGAAATGTTATCTTATTATTTGTACCCTCCACTGGGTACCACAGGGACGTGGTGGCGCTGTGGGCTAAACCGCAGAAGCCTGTGCTGCAGGGTCAGAAGACCAAGCAGTTGTAAGATCGAATCCACGGGATGGAGTGAGCGCCCGTCGCTTGTCCCAGCTCCCGCCAACCTAGCGGTTCGAAAGCATATAAAAGCAAGTAGATAAATAGGGACCACCTCGGTGGGAAGGTAACAGCGTTCCATGTCTAAGTCGCACTGGCCATGTGACCACGGAAGATTGTCTTCGGACAAAACGCTGGCTCTATGGCTTGGAAACGGGGATGAGCACCGCCCCCTATAGTCGAACACGACTGGACAAAAATTGTCAAGGGGAACCTTTACCTTTTACCTTACTGGGTACCACTCATTTGTTTTTTTTTAATCAGAGATTGGTGGCCCCAGGATGATGATGGTCTCTCAAAATATGTCTAAATTTCCCCCTATTATCTCAAGAAAATACAAGGAGAGTTGAGCCAAACATTTTTTTTCTAATTTTCAGTGTGTGGAAGGCTGCTGTATGTGGGGGGTCATTACTTAGGAAATCCATCCAGAAGGTTAAGAACCTCTGAACCAGGTGACAAAAGCCCCTAAAAGTGGGGTTTATGCCTGTGGGATCCGCTGGCATGCAAGAGTCTGGTTGGAATCCTGTTCCACAGTTAAGGAGTCACTTTTAAAAGTAACCTGCTATAAGTTAAGAAATCTCAACAGTTCGTGTCTGTGGAAACTCCGTAACTCATAGCGGTTCACCTCTAAAAGATACGCCTTTTGCATAATCATACAACAAGATTTTGACCTGCGTTTAGGAATCAGAAGTGGTGTTTGAGATGCAGAAAGAAAACTTAAGAATACTGTACCAATACACATGTAGGGCCAGTAAACACAAGAGGGGCAAATGTAGTCAAGCTATCTATCTACTTTGCTTGCTGCATGCATTAGAACTCTGTTACTGCAACCCAGGCCTGGCAACATAGGAGTTTCCCTGATAGGAGAAAGGCAGCCTATAAACAAACCTATTGTCTGTGTGTTGTATGGGCCAAAAGGCTGAAATGTGCTCCCTATAATTCCAACACCCCTCCAATGGAAAATAATTAAAAAAAATATTTTAGAGGGCTCAAAAAGTCTTCATGCTGTTTAAAAGTATGCGGCAATTTTACAATCAACAGCCCACTCGAAAGCCTGCGTCTCTACTCCTACAAAAAATTGGCCACAAGGGAACTTAAGGGGGGCTTTTTTAGTGCGGGGAAAGGGCAATTTTTATAAGGAATAGGAGGGGTTGGGGTGATGGTGTGGTCTTCTAAGATCCAGGAAGGGTTGTGTGTGCCCCCATCAAACCTCAGCAGGTTCCCGACCTCTGCTGTAAGAGGAGGGGACTGATATTTGCTGATATTTTTGGTCCCATGCTTTTTGGGAAAGCCTAGGTTTGATCTTCAGGTTGAAAGAGGTTCCCCAGCCTTTTGTGGGGAATGGAGTTGAGATAGGGGAATACTTAACATAAGAGAAGGTGGGAGACTCTTCTCCCTTCCCTCCTTGTAGAGATAAAGTGCCTGTGCTCCCCATAGCCCTGTCCAGAAGAGTGAAAAATGCAGGCAACGTGATCAACCCACAATCTGTTGTTGATGGGCAGGTCTTTTGTAAATATCATGGCTCTTTGTTGTCTTATGACAGAGGACGCTTGCAAGAATATAGTATTCTTGGGCAGTTCCATTTCTACAGGAGCTACCATGAGGTTTGCAGCTCAGCAAAGAGGAAGTAGGATTCTGAGAGGGGTGGCAGATTATTTTATATGCTCTGGTATTCTTGAGATTTCATCCCAACACCACGCCACTGGATTCTAAAGTTAGCCTTTTTAGCTAGCAGTTCTAGAAGAACAGAGCATCCATTTTGAAATGATAACAGCCCTTTATAAGTTCATTTGGCTTACTGTTGACAATGTAAAATTACATACAGCTGGCAAGAGAGAAGTTTGTTTTCTTTTGTTTAAACAGTTGCATAGCAATTGTGGTTTTACAGCTTGATATTTGCCTGTTTACTCAGAGGAACTCCACCCACTGGATTCAGTGGAATTTGCTGTTACGGGAATGTGCACAGACCATGCAGCAACAGTGATCTTACCTTAAAAAACTACATTTGAGAAGAAGTCCATAGTTTGATGAAAACTCCAGCCACACACAAAAAAGTGTTGTCCTTAAGCTGCGCAAATGAGTTCCTCAAAAGCCTCACATTTGTTCTTCATTTTTTGTAATGAAAAGAACTGGGGGTAGGGAGAATTAAAATAAGTATGTTACTGTTAAATTCCATTTTATGGTGCAGAGTAGAAATTATGAACGTAAAATATTTGGCCATGTAGTAAGCATGCTTGTTTCATTTATTACAGTGTTAGGTTAATAAATAATCTATTTTCTGTATATAATCTATTTTCTGTAAATCTTTCTGTATATGAAAGATTTAACAATCTAGAGTTAAATTAAGTGACAATTCTGGTTAGAGCAAACCTACTGAAATCAGAGGACTTAAACTAAGGATGATTAACAAATTTCGTTCATTTTAGTGGACATTCTATAAAAAAGACCTAGCACATAAAAAATAAAAAAATACAGTGATAATTCTAGGGCAGTGCATAATAAAACCAAGGTAGAACAAGAAGCAAAGAACAAAAATGTGATCACATATAAAGTCAAAGCGGAAGCAAAATAAAGGGAGTGTTGTGACCTAAAAGCACTGAAAGTGTTTCTTAAAATATAAGGGTGAACAAAAATTTTTGATTTTACATAGGAGTACAATCACACAGGCTGGACTAGATCAGCTTTTTAAAAAGTAGGAGGAAGGGGTATTCAAAAGGTGAAAGAGAGTTTCTTGATTAAACTGGCAATACTTAAGTAAATAATGTGATAATTAACCTGGAAAAAGCCTGTGTTGTTATTACATAAGGCAATTCAGTCTGTAACTGCTGCCTGCTCCAGAAATTGCCTGTAATTAAAATTATTGCCATATCACATCTGGTAGCAAAATATAATAGCAAGACTGCTAGGCAGGACAGTTGTGCAAACAGTCTCTGAAAAACAAGAGAGGTTCTTTATGCCTTAGTTTTGGGGGCTACTACATCTTGTAGCGCCTTAAAGACAAGTTTTATTTGGCGTAAGCTTTTGTTCGCTAAATTCAAAGTAAAGTAGTCCCCCCTCCCAAGTATCTGTGTATCCACAGTTTCGGTTATCTGCATTTTACCACAGCCCTAAATACAATATCCAGGGATGTGGGCCTTGTGGCTTTGTCCTGCCGTGTTGTGACCTTTGTCCCGCCATCTAGTATGTTGTGTCTATATAGGGTTCACTGCTATTGACGGTTTCAGGCATTCACAGTAGTTCGTGGAACAGGGTCTGTGGGGTACTGATGTAAGGACCCCAGTGTAGTTCTAGTAATGTTCAGGAGAGGGACAAGAAGGTTTAACATATCATACAACATGGTTAGTTGTTGTTCTGGACTACAACTCCCAGAACCTCCGGCCAACATAACTCAGGCAAGTTTGCCAAGATCTGGGCCTTCCCCCCCACATTAACACCTCTCTCTTTCCCCCTTGAAGAAAGCACTGCACCTCCGAGCCACCAAGATGTTTCGGGACTTCAAGGGCATCCTGCGGAAGACAGGAGAACAGTGGCTAGTTACCATGGCTGATACTGACAACCACATTCCAGATGTTTATGAGGAAGTGGTGGGCGTGGTGGACATTACCACCCTGAACAGTTGTCAGTACTGTGTCGTTTGTGATCCGCTGGGAGAAGATGGCAAACCCCAGCTTGGACAGAAGAAGGTGATCAAGGTATGTCCCTGTGTCTCAGTAACGTGGAAGACTATGTTGGCAAACGTCTTGGATGGCAGACAGCATCAAAGTGATTTTGTATTAGCAATTATAGGAAATTGAAGTCATCTAGCCCAGCCCCCTGTCAGTGCAGGATTTCTACACTGAGAGCATCCAGGACAAACGGGCGCCTAACCAGTGTTGAAAAGGTTTCAATGAAGGAGAATCCGCCCCATTCCAAGATATCTGCTGTTGAACAGTTCTTAGCGTCAAGTACTTGAGATTGACTTTCTTGTCATTCAAATCCATTGATCAGGATTCTTCCTGCTGGAGCAGTAAAAAAAATGCAGGTTCTCTCTTGTCCATGTGGTAGTCCTTCAGGCAGCTGAAAAACTGTAACTGGTGGGTGGAAGTGGTAGAGAAGCAGATTTCAACTCCATATTAGGAGAAACTGGACTTCCCAGCACTGTGAGCAGCAGTGCAATGTGCCTCCTTTTCCTGGAGGTGTTTGAGCAGAATCTGGATGGCCTTCTGGTCCTGATTTACAGGTTAGCATTGAGTATGGGGTTGGACTCCAGGATCCCTTCCAGAGATTACAGCCAACAGGTTGTGCACAGGGGTTTTGTGGCATGCACAGCATTCTGAAGCATGTCCTTTGGTGACCCATTAGTTCATACATGGAAATCTACTCAAGCATTTGGAAAAGGTGTGTGTGGTTTCTTTCCCCCAACTCCCAGAAGCCTCCAGAGAGTACAGCTGCTGTCTGTGCAGGCTGGAGGACTGGGAAAATTTACTCCAAAAAAGTAACTTTCCCAGTTCTATTTCTGTAAGGTATTTTGGCCTTAGTGCCCCCTTCTCCAGTGATCTGCTCAGCATTCTCCTGTAATCTTATGGGTACCGGCAGGCAGGACATCTCTCTGAAGTCTTTCTTCTGTATTGGCCACTCTTTCAATAAATTAAGGAAGCCCAGAGAAACCTCCAAGGTCTTTGCCTACATTCCAGCATCGATTATAGTAGTTTGAAGATCTTTTCATGGTTCACAAACATACCATTGTTTCCATCACCTTGGTCCACATTTCTAGGCAGGTGGGTGAATAGTCGTATCCAGCTACCGATTTTGAGTACAGTAGTTGGGTAGGTAGTTTGAGCTCAGAAAGTTTGAGCTAAAGCATAGATTGATTCTGCTTCCTGTTACGTTGGGAGTGTTTCTGAAGACATTAGCTGGATGGGGAACCACAGAGTTTCTCAAGTTAGTGCTGAGCCTTGCTTTGTGTTTCCTCAACCCTCACTGCTGCTCCACAGGGGGAGATATCCTTCTTCCTGCAGCCTGGAGAACGGCTGGAAGACTGTATCCAGGATAACTTCATCCTTTCGGAAGATGATGGCCTCCTGCTACGTGCGGTCCGTTCCATGGAAGACTTTAATGAGGTAGGCAGACCTCAGCCAATGTTGGATGGAGGCAGAGCCAAGAAGTAACTACTAGTTACAAACAAGTTAATTGCAATTCCTTTTTCTAATAACAAAGGTATTATGTAGCTACACAACTGGGGGTATTTGATTTCCTCTTTTGATGTAACTGTAACTTTAAATGTTACAGGGATGTGGTCTCCTTATACAGTGGTGCCTCGCTAGACGATAATCCATTCCACTGAAATCGCTGTTTAGCAAAATCATTGTCTAGCGAAAAGCATTTCCCCATTGGAATGCATTGAAACCTGTTTAATGCATTCCAATGGGGAAGAATCATCGTTGTCTAGCGAAGATCGGCCATAGAAATGCCACTTTGCGAACCGCGATCATCTGTTTAAATTGCTGTCTGGCGAAGGTTAGGTCCCGAAAACACCTGTTTCGCGAGCGCGGAGGGAGCTGTCAAAATTTTTGTCTAGCGAAAATCGATTTGCAAAGCAGGGACCAAATATTGTCCAGCGAAATTCCCCCATAGGAATCACTGTTTTGCGAATCACTATAGCGATCGCAAAAAGTCAATGTCTAGCGAAAAAACTGTCATGCGGGGTAACTAGCGAGGCACCACTGTACATATATGAAGGAGGAATGTCGTATGGTTCAGGAGCTGGCTCGTGCTGCTGCCTGGTCCTTTTGTCAATGCAAAAATAATGAGATGGACAAAAAGAGTGTTTTGTAGAGCACATGGAAAAATTAATTTTTTGGACTTCAACTCCCAGAACCCCCGAACCAACTTAGCCACTGCTTTGCTAGAGGATTCCGGTAGTTGTAATGCTACGAAGAAACACATCTAAACTGGCTTTGCCCGACAGGCCAGTGGCTTGTAAAATGAACCAAGAAGCAGCTTAATTAATTTGTGTGTGTGTGTGTGTGTGTGTGTGTGTGTGTGTGAGAGAGAGAGAGAGAGAGAGAGAGAGAAACAAGAACATAGAGCTACCGTAAATAATTGCAACTGTCCTGATAACTAACTACTTGAGGGGGCTTAAAGCTATAACTGTATCTGATTGCTTTGTTAGGCTAATTGAATGGGGAAGTGGAAACAGTGGCCAGGTTTGTGTGAACCCAAAAACTCCTTCCCTTTCTTTCTCTGCCTCTTACCCAGGATGGAGAAGAAATTACACGCAAAGCAGGTGACCGTTGGCTAATCAAGGGCCCCTTGGAATATGTGCCGCCTGTGAAGGTGGAAATACTGGAGCAGCGCCATTCCATCCCATTGGCCGAGAGTGAGGGCATTTACGTGCAGAATATCAAGACTGGAAAGGTAACAGAGCAGATGGAACCGCAGTTACTGGATATCTTCTACATCTCAAGAAGGTCCTACCTTGCGCAGACTAAATGCACCAATTAGCAGCACCCTCAGGATCCATCCCTTTAGAGGTCACTGCTAATGAAAGTATCATAGCCGTCTGTCACAGTTTGCATGCATTATTTATGAACCGCAGTCCAGCCAAACCTCTGAGAGTAGGCTTGCAAAAGACCTCACAGTTGTCGGTGTGAAGGATGTAATGTGATTTTGCTTGAGTGTCTTAATTTTGGCACTGTGGGTGTATCAAGGGGAGGATTGTATGGAAAGGTCTTCAGCTAGTCTCCTTTTTCTCGCACATCGGCAGCTGTCAGAGCGACAAAGGCCATTGCTGGGTAGTGTGCAGAAACTGACCACAGAAGAACTAAATTCCAAAAGTAAAGGTAAAGGTTCCCCTTCACCATTTGTCCAGTCGTGTTTGACTTTAGAGGGCAGTACTCATCTCCGTTTCCAAACTGTCAGAGTGACAAAGGCCATTGCTGGGTAGTGTGCAGAAACTGACCACAGAAGAACTAAATTCCAAAAGTAAAGGTAAAGGTTCCCCTTCACCATTTGTCCAGTCGTGTTTGACTTTAGAGGGCAGTACTCATCTCCGTTTCCAACCCGTAGATTGACCACAGAACAACTAAATTCCAAAGGTAAAGGTAAAGGTTCTGCTTGTCAATTTGTCCAGTCGTGTCCAACTCTAGGGGCCAGTACTCATCTCCGTTTCCAACCCGTAGAGCTGGCGTTTGTCTGAAGACAATCTTCCGTGGTCACATGGCCAGCACAACTAGACACTAGAACAAAAACATCTTGGTGCTGGTGATTCTGGATAGCATTCCACGCATCTGATGAAACAGACTGCACTGCACACAGATAATAACATTTGTTAGTCTTTGAAGTTACTGCCATAGGATTCTTTGTTGTTTTTGGAAGATTCTTTTTAAAGTTTGTGATCTGGGCTTTCAGCCTAAACCTGCAAACAGGAATCTTTTAAATAACACTAGAGGAGCCTGATGGTTCCTTAGGGCTACATGCAATTATTAGTCCCAACTTGAGTAGATCCGCTGAATCAATGGGATTTAAATTAAATGTTCATTTACCCATGTCTATGGATTCATGAGCTTTCATGGACTTTTATCACTTGAATGGAGTACTATCCAGAATTTCAAATGTGCATGTGCATTCGTGCATGCATGCATACACAGAGTACACACAGGAGTGGAACTGGTACACCATAAGGTTAGAAGTGAGTTATATCCAGAAACTATCATAGTGAAAATTATATTCCTACCATGGACTGATAATGCAAGTTTTTCTGAGAACACAAACATCTTGGTGCTGGTGTTTCTGGATAGCATTCCATGCATCTGAAGAAACAGACTGCACTGCACACAGATAATAACATTTGTTAGTCTTTGAAGTTACTGCCATAGGATTCTTTGTTGTTTTTGGAAGATTATTTTTAAAGTTTGTGATCTGGGCTTTTAGCCTAAACCTGCAAACAGGAATCTTTTAAATAACACTAGAAAGGGGCTCTGTTAAAATTGATTTGCATATAGAAGTGCTGGTTAGCTTGGTGATTTAGGCCTCTGGCTGCAAAGCCAGAGCTTGAGAGTTCGTTTGTGCTTCCATGTCAGGGGCTGGACTTGATGATTTGTAGAGTCCCTTCCAGGAATGGAGTTCTGAGGTGGTGGTGGTTGTATAAGTTAACATTAATGAATCTTGGTTATAGGTACGGATGTTGCAGGACAATATAGTACTATAGTAAGTGTTATGTGCGGTCCCTGTCATAATTCCTTTTCCATTGTATTCAGGATGAACAGCTGTGGCCCTCCGTAGGTTTTTAACTAAAACATCCATAATCCCTTGCCCTGGAGTCTCCTGGCTAGGGCTGATAGGAATTGTAGGCAAAAGATACATGGATGGCCATCATTGCCCACCTGTATCCTAAATGCAGAAAACTTGCACTGACAGGATCTTCACAGGTGTGAAGAAAATCATATCCTTTCCAGGGAAAGGTATTGCCATACAGTGGTGCCTCGCTAGACAATGATAATCCGTTCCACTGAAATCGCTGTTTAGCGAAATCATCGTCTAGCGAAAAGCATTTCCCCATTGGAATGCATTGAAACCTGTTTAATGCATTCCATTGGGGAAGAATCGTTGTTGTCTAGCGAAGATCGGCCATAGGAAAGCCGCTTTGCAAACCGCCGATCATCTGTTTAAATCGCTGTCTTGTGAAGCTTATGTCCTGAAAGCACCTGTTTTGCGCGTGTGGAGGGAGCTGTCCAAATCATTATATAGCAAAAATCGGTTTGCAAAGTAGGGACCAAACATTGTCCAGCAAAATTCCCCCATAGGAATCACTGTTTTGCGAATCGCTATAGCGATCGCAAAAAGTCAATGTCTAGCGAAAAAACTGTCATGCGGGGTAACTGTCTAGCGAGGCACCATTGTATACCGTTGATAAGCTCTGTTGATCCTAGAGCTCAACATGGGTATGTTTGATCGTAGGTCCGATCTGTTGTTGGCCACACTTACATGCTGTCTCAGGATGAGGAGCTGTGGGAGAAGAAGCTGCCCCCCCATGTGGAGGCCTTACTGGCTGCAGACAGAGATCCTCTGGTCGATCGCACCAGGGAGGCCACCGAAGAAGGGACGTGCGTTCCCCGTGATAAGACCCGGGTCGTGTCCTACCGTGTCCCTCACAATGCTGCGGTGCAGGTGTACGACTACAAGGAGCAGAAGGCCAGGTAAGAGAGCTGTGTGGTGTCTGTGTGTTAATGTTTATCTCCCCCCCCCCCAAAATCAGATCAGCCTGTCAAGAAGAGACTCAGGAGAGGTCTCTGTGTTTAGAAAGGAAGCAGGGTTAGCGCCGTGGTTCCCAACCTTGGGTAACCTGCATGTTCTTGGAGTCCTGTTCCTGGCAGCCTTTACCACCAGCTGCAGTGGCTGGGGATTGTGGGAGTTGTAGCCCAAGAGCACCTGGGTTACCCAAGGCTGGGAACCACTGGCTTAGCAGAAGGTGAATGGCCCCCCAACAGTGTGTTCTCAGTTGCCTGTAATGCACATGAAAGAGGACAGCTTGGGAATACGGCTTTTTTGGATGACAACTTCCAGAATCTTCCAGCCAGTCTTCCAGTATCCATGTACCTGGGGGATTCCAGGAGGAGGAGGAGGAATTCAAACAGTCTTTCTTTCTGGGCCCGATTCAAGAAGCAAAGGAACTTCATGAGCAGCAGCTTGCTCTGTCGGTGGGCCAAGACCTCCTGCATCCTTCTGATAAACTGATCTCTCCAAGGTTCTTCCTGCACCTTCCCATGGAGGGTCGATTCTTAAAGGGTCAACTTCCTGGCTTGAAAATAGGCCTTTTAAGGGCCTGCTCTTCATGACTTGAGTTATATTAACGTGTTTGCCTTGGTAACAATAGTATCCTATGTATATATGTACCTTTTATATCCCACTTTTTTTCTTTCTTTCTTCTCTTCCCCCTTTGCTTGTTCCTTCTGGAGTGTGGAATGTTACTTAACATTTTAAAAATCAAACAGAACAGTATTTTTCTAAAAAAAACAAAACACCCAACAATATCCTGCTTGGACTTCAAGCCCTTTGCTTTCTTCTACAGTTTTATCTCCAGTGGCCCTCCGTGGGTTGCTGGGCAATTAGGTTGGAGCAGGATGTCGTTGGTTCCTGAGACCATTTGGGCTCATTAGAAGGCATCTGCAGGGGCCTCGGCTGACATGGCAGGAGCTTGTGGCAGGACCCTTGGATTCTCTATGGGGCTCCTGGCCCAGTGTCTTAGCTGTGATTGTACTGTCGCCTAAGACACTGCTGGCTTGTCTCTGAGGCTGAAGTCAGAGATCTGCCTTTGTGCTTACAGAAGGGAGAGGAAGGAAAGGTATACTCCTAATTGAAGAATGAGTCTTGGCATCAGAAGTGGATTGTATGGATAAGGATATTTCCCTTTCATGCTAGCTGGCTCTTTTCTTCTGGAACGTTAGTCCTTTATTTATTTATTTATTTACATTCACTTGCCAGATTGGGCTGCATTTATTATTTACTGTATATTATTTAAAATATTTTTTACTCCACCTTCTTCCTTAAAAAGGGCCCAGGGTGGCTTGCATCATTAAAAGACTGTATTTAAAGCTAAAAACGAGTATACAAATGAGTCTACCTTCATTAACTTTACATATACATCCGACACATCATCCAAAGAGCTCAGAGTGGCATAGGTGAGCCTGTTTAGGGTGCCCTTGTGTCTTCTCTTACAAAGAGCTGTCCTCTATTTGGAAGGCTTCTAGAGAGCAGTCCTTCTCTTCCAAGGGCTGCCTGATGCTGATCTGATTTTAAAAAACAAAAAGCTTAAGACATCAGGACTTTGAAGTGAGCAACTTAGAAGCCGATTTAGCAATCATACGGACCACTTGATCACAGCCCTTCCCCTGCTTGGGTGAGATGAACTGTAATCCTGTTCAAAAGATCAAAAAGAAAATTATATTTACATTTTAGGTGAGGTGTAAAGGTTTACCCCATGTATTTACGAAGGCTTTCACGGCTGGGATCTAATGGTTGTTGTGGGTTTTTTGGGCTCTTTGGCTGTGTTCTGAAGGTTGTTCTTCCTAACGTTTTGTCAGTCTCTGTGGCCGGCATCTTCAGAGGACTGGAGTACCACTCACCAGAGCACAGAGTTCTGACTCCTGTCCTCTGAAGATGCCGGCCACAGAGACTGGCGGAACGTTAGGAAGAACAACCTTCAGAACACGGCCAAAGATTCCGAAAAATCCACAACAACTGTTTACTCCATGCTTCATGTGAACACACATCTTATTCTCACAGCAGTCTTGTGAAGCAGGGTTAGAGTCAATGATAAGGATTACCTCAGGATCCCCCAGTTCCCGCCCACCCAACCCCAGTCCACTTTCATTTGCCCCAGTCACCTTTGTGGCTGTATTTTTTGCAGAACAAAACCAAGTTTGTGGTGCCAGTTGGTCTGGTGGAATGGCAAAGTACAGTTAAGCCTTATTAGAATTCTCCTCTTGTAGATGCATGCTGAGGATATTTCTTTCTGTTGAGTATGACTGGGGAATTAAGGGTGAATTGATTAGTTAGGTTTGGTTCCTAGTGGGGAGTGTATATATTTTTCTCTTTCTGTTAAAACAGACACACTTTTCTCTAAAAGGGGCATATATCTGCAAAAGAAGAAGCCAGCCCCCTTAAAAAAAGGTGTGGGGGGATAATTAATCATAATCCCTTTCTGAATAGGAAGAAATAAAACAGGATGTGTCTGCAGAGAGGAAACTTGTAAATAACATTGCAGGGGATCTGAAGCAAACAGGACATCATCTTTTGAACAAACCTTACAGCAGAAAATTTCTGGTTAATGCTACACTTCATTTGGTGCTTTGTGGAACCTTAGTGCTTTAATTGCACTCTTCTTTCTCTTAGGGTGGTTTTTGGGCCAGAACTGGTACTTCTGGGGCCAGACGAGCAGTTCACCGTGCTGAGTCTGTCTGGAGGCCGACCCAAGCGTCCCCACGCCCGCCGGGCCCTCTGCCTCCTTTTGGGGCCCGACTTCTGCACTGATGTGATCACCATTGAAACAGCCGATCATGCCCGCCTGCAACTTCAGCTGGCCTATAACTGGTGAGTCCGCAGTGACCTTTCTCCTGCGCTGCTCTCCGATATGGATGTGACTGTTTGATCAAGTACTTTGAGATTTGCTGCTGGTGTAAAATGAATGAATCCCCCCCCCTTTTTTTTTAAACTGATCACACAAAGACCACTTTGAAGCAGTCTGGACCTCTTTGACGTCTAACACAAAGTTTTTTTGTACACATGGTGGGGCGTTAAATCACACCCATATAAGTGGTGCATTAATTGAATTTCTCTACAGTCACTGGAATTCGAGACAAAATTGCTAACATGCGCTGGATTATGGAGAAAGCCACAGAGTTCCAGAAAAAGATCTACTTCTGCTTCATTGACTACGCAAAAGCCTTTGACTGTGTGGACCACAGCAAACTATGGCAAGTCCTTAAAGAAATGGGACTGCCTGAACACATTATCTACCTCCTGAGAAATCTGTATGTGGGACAGGAAGCAACAGTTAGAACTGGACATGGAACAACTGATTGGTTCAAAATTGGGAAAGGAGTACGACAAGGCTGTATATTGTCCCCCGGCTTATTTAACTTACATGCAGAATACATCATTAGAAAGGCAGGGCTGGATGAATCCCAAGCCGGAATTAAGATTGCCGGAAGAAATATACCTCAGATATGCAGAAGATACCACTCTGATGGCAGAATATGAAGAGGAATTAAGGAACCTCTTAATGAGGGTGAAAGAGGAGAGCTCCAAAAATGGTCTGAAGCTCAACATCAAAAAAACTAAGATGATGGCCACTGGTCCCATCACCTCATGGCAAATAGAAGGGGAAGATATGGAGGCAGTGACAGATTTTGATTTCTTGGACCCCATGATCTCTGCAGATGGTGACAGCAGCCACAAAATTAAAAGATGCCTGCTTTTTGGGTAGAAAGCGATGAGAAACCTAGACAGCATCTTAAAAAGCAGAAACATCACCTTGCGGACAAAGGTCCACATAGTCAAAGTTATGGTTTTTCCTGTAATGATGTATGGAAGTGAGAACTGGAAGAAAGCTGACCGCTGAAGAATTGATGCTTGTGGATTGTGGTGCTGGATGAGACTCTTGAGAGTCCCCTGGACTCCCAAGAGAACAAACCTATCCATTTTGAAAGAAATCAACCCTGAGTGCTCACTGGAAGGACAGATCCTGAAGCTGAGGCTTCAATACTTTGGCCATCTCATGAGAAGAGAAGACTCCCTGGAAAAGCCCCTGATGTTGGGAAAGTGTGAAGGCAAGAGGAGAAGGGGACGACAGAGGGGAGAGATGGATGAAGAGTATCACTCAAGCTACCAACATGAATTTGACCCAAGACAGGAGGGCCTGTCGTGCTCTTGTCTATGGGGTCACGAAGAGTCGGACACGACTTAATGAGTAAACAACAGTCACAGAAAATCTGTCCTGTATCCAAGTAGCCCTGATTTTACTTGATTATTCTTTGATCTTCATACTTCGCTTCAGAGTCTATTAAGTGACTTCCAGATGGTCCGGTCAAATTCTTCAGCCAAACTGGCGTTTTGAATATGTGAGTAATTCATTGTATTATGCATTATGAGTGGATTGCACTGTTGTTACCAGCAGGCCAGGAAAATACATGCAAATACCCTTTCTGTTTCCCTCTCATGTTTCCCTCTCATGGCCAGTTCTGATATTGCATCTTGGAAATGTTTGTAAAAATATGAAAGACAAAGCTGAAGAATACTGTTCTTGTCACTGAGGTCTGATAAGAGAATGACATAAAACCTGGAAGTGTAACTGTTAAAATGTCTCTAATAATTCCTTAAAATGCTGTTTGAAAGTAACTTTTGAAAGTAATTGGCTAGAATCCTGCTGGTATTCACAGCTATTTGTAGCTAATTGACAAGATGCTGGGGTATGTACAATTATCTGCCTGATTGCACAAACTAGATGTTCCCCATTAGCTTGTCAATTGTTCGCAATTAGCCACAGCAAGTCATGCAGTGTCTATGTGAACATCAATAGGATTCCAGTTATTGATTGCAAATTGCTACCTCTAAGTAACATGGATGTTACTTGTTACAACTGTGCAACTTTCAGTTAAAGTACTTGTTATCCAAAAGTATCTAGCTACAGACATGTTACTTATAACTAATTACATTTAAGCTTTGTTCTGGGACTATAGATTGGAGGATGGGGAAATAATTTAAATAACAGTTATGTAGATAGATTTAAAATGTTTTAAAAGAAGGGGATGTACTATGATTGTGGACATTTGGATGTATTGGATGAAGTTTGTGATGCAGCTTTCAACATATATCAGAAAAGGCTGAGTATTTAGTGCTGCAAAAAGATGTATTTAAAATAATGGAATAAGGTCTAACCAAACACAAATTGCCATGTCCTTAGCAGAGCGCAAAATCCCCATAGTAGTTGTGGATCATGGGTAGTGTCATCCACAGAAGGCACTTATCCATTCTTTGTGTGACTCTGAGCGCTGTGAAGTGTATGACTCTCTTCTTTCTCCCTCAGGCACTTTGAGGTCCCTCCACCCGCGGAAGCATCCCGTCTGTTTAGCGTCCCAGATTTTGTTGGCGATGCTTGCAAGACCTTGGCCTCCCGCATTCGAGGGGCTGTGGCTGCTGTCACATTTGATGACTTCCATAAGGTGAGCCATGTTTCCTGTGAACCCGCTTCCATCTCCTGCCTTAGCCTCCTATGTCTCAGGGAGTACAAGGAGCAGACATGAATTTCTCCCTCTTTCTCTCTTTTCCTTTCCTTCCTTCTTTCTCACATTCACCCATGATCAGGCTGCAGGTCAGGAGGGCTATGCCTGAGGATGTGGGACACTGGCGATAGCACATCTTCCTCCTTGTCTGGCCAGCTTTTCTTTAAACTTGTGTGTTACAGTTAGATAAAGGTAAAGGTTCCCCTTGACATTTAGTCCAGTCGTTTCCGACTCTAGGGCGCGGTGCTCATCCCCATTTCCAAGCCGTAAAGTCAGCGTTTGTCCATAGACACTTTCCGTGGCCACGTGGCCAGCACGACTAGACACGGAATGCTGTTACCTTCCCACCATGGTGGTGTCTATCTACTTGCATTTTTATGTACTTTCGAACTGCTAGGTTGGCAGGAGGTAGTCTGCAAATTATTGATTTATTCCTTCACCTCCATCTTTCCACATTCAGGAGTCTGGAAAGGTTAATTCTTTTGGACCGCCACTCCCAGAATCTCCCTGCCAACATTGTCTCTGGTCATGCCTGCTTGGCTTTTTGGGAATGTGTAGTCCTCCTCATTCTGTGCTGATCTTTAACAGATACTGATGGTTTTTGGTTAAAACTTATATCTTTTATATAATACCAGTCAATGTTTTTTATAATTTTGATTGACTGTGCCTGGTATTTTAATCATCATCAATTCCCAAGCTCTGCCTCCTTCCTTGACTTACCGTATTTTTCGCTCCATAAGATGCACTTTTTTACTCCAAAAGTGTGTGGGGGGGAGTGTATGTATCTTATGGAGTGAAAACTATAAAAACTGGTTCAAAACCTCTTTAGCCAACCCCCACCCAGAAGCCTCCCGCAGTTCCACCACCGTGCCAGGATGCCTGCTCACTGTGGCAGCTGCTTTGGACCTCGTTGCTCCACCATCCAAGCTGCTGGCTTTCCAGGCTCTGTCTTCTGGAGCCTGCCTAGAAAGCCAGCAAGGCCAACAGGCCTATGGCAGCAAAATCAAATGGCCAAGGGGGAAAAAGATCAAAGTGATTCTAGAAGGACCAGGGGAAAGCGCAAACACAGTCCCTCACTACCACAAATTATGCAGTCCAGTTTCCCACATTTTGGGAAATTGCAGGGATCAGCACACTGTCTTCAGACAAACACTGGCTCTATGGCTTGGAGACGGAGATGAGCACCCCCCCCCTAGAGTTGGACACAACTGGACTAAATGTCAAGGCGGACCTTTACCTTTACCTCCCCCAGTGTGGGGATTGTACCATTGTTGTACCATACTGCTCATCAATCCTAGCCTTCAGGCTTGCAGAGGCGAATGGTTTTGCAGTGGAAAACTCCCAGTGGAAAGTACTAATGCACTAGCAGTCATTAAAGCTTTTATTGGCTTCAGGGTGTATTTGACAGAATTCCCAGCTTCTTTCGAGGAAGGAAAGTCCATGCTGTCTTTTCATTGTTACTGAATTTAACATCTGCAGAATTCAAATCGTCTGATCTGTGCTGCTGTGTTTGGGTTTGACGGGGAAGGGACGCTCCGCAGCTCCTTGCGCTTTGCCCCCAATGGCCTCGTCATCAGCAGCATCGACATCCAGAGCGTGGAGCCCGTCGATCAAAGGACTCGAGATTCCCTCCAGCGCAGCGTGCAGCTCGCCATAGAGATCACCACCAACTCTCAGGAGGCTGCTGCCCGGTACTTAATGGCTTGTGGGGTGTGGAAGGGGAGGGGCGCGGAGCAGCCAGGTTCTCTGCTTGATTTTATTTTATTTTTAGTCTTCTGTAGCAGACAGAAAGCTCTCTAGTTCCAGAATCCATCTTCTGTAGGTGGTTTCCAAGGAAATGAAGACCATAAAAAGAAACAAAGCACCAACATTAACATCTCAAACAAGAGATATTTGGTGTATTCGTGAAGGCTTTCACGGCTGGGATCTGATGGTTGTTGTGGGTTTTTCGGGCTCTTTGGTCGTGTTTCGAAGGTTGTTCTTCCTAACGTTTCACCAGTCTCTGTGGCTGACATCTTCAAAGGACAGCACTCTGTGCTAGGTGCAGTTTGTTTGGGAGTTGGGTATTTATGGCTGTGAGATCAGTTTTTGTACTTTTTCAAGAGAAGGGTGATTAGTGTGTCTTGTTGTGGGTGTATTGTTGTGATAAGGAGGAGAGATTATCTGTCACTGTGATTGATGGGTGTCATTAGCTGGTCTTTTGTGTGTAGTGATCCCGGTCCTTGTGGCTGGATAGAGTTTGTTGACCCCTAAAACAAGCTGGACATGAAATTCTATTTCAAAATAATGAAATACTGGACAACACCAGCAATCATTATGTTAGACTGCACAGGGAAGCCATAGAAATCCACAAGCACCAGCAGAACTTTAACAAAAAAGAGGAAAGTTTGAAATTCAACAAAACTTGGCTCCCAGCTCTGAAAAATGCAGTGTGCAAAAGGTCAACCTTCAGAACACAGCCAAAGAGCCCGAATAACCCACAACAACCAAGAGATATTTGGGTTGGACAACTTTGATGATCCCTGGGGAATGATAGTCCAGTAGCAGGGCCTATTGGGAGCAGTTTGAGCCAAATGTCCACTTTTTGTTCTCTTTTTCAGGGCTTAGTCAGGTGCGGCAAAGTGCATCAGGGCTGTGCATCTTGTTTAAGTGCAAAAACACCATTACTGAAGACTCACAAAATCTGAAAATGATCTTCAATTTTCAGTTGAGATATTTGGGTTGGACAACTTTGATGATCACTGGGGAATGATAGTCCAGTCTCAGGGCCTATTGTGAGCAGTTTGATCCAAATGTCCACTTTTTGTTCTGTTTTTCAGGGCTTAGTCAGGTGCGGCAAAGTGCATCAGGGCTATGCATCTTGTTTTAAGTGCAAAAACACCATTACTGAAGACTCACAAGATCTTAAAATGATCTTCAATTTTCAGTTCCCTTTATGGTATTCAGGAAGGGCTTGTGTGCTGCAAAAATGGCCACCGGACGTACTGTCTGGAGGTGGGTGGGTCCTGTGGAGTTGTGGTCCAGAAAAATAATCTTTCCAAGCTCCAGTTCACTCCAGATTCAAAGCTTTTCCTTCCAGAGGAACAGAACAGAAGGCAGCCAAGGTGGACTCCAGAATGGCCGACTGATGTGAAACATGCTGGTCTACAGAAGCACACCTTGTGTTCTGACTCCCTGTGGTGCAACGCAGGCCCAGGTTTTTTCTCCTTCATGCCATAGAAGGAAAAGGAAACGTACCTGCGCTTAGCAGAAGTGGTGAAGATACTGGCTCTCAAAAACAGTCAGTTGACGCAGGCCCAGGTTTTTTCCCCTTCATGCCATAGAAGAAGGAAACGTACCTGCTCTTGGCAGAAATGATGAAGATACTGGCTCTCAAAAACAGTCAGTCCAGTCAAGGAACCGTGCAAAAGCCCCCATGTTTCTTGTCACTCGTTTTGTTTTTGGATGTTGTGGAAAGTGCTGTGTGGGACTATGGTACCGCTTGAAATTTGGCTCAGCTGCCTCTGAGCTTTGGAAATGGCAGGCATATTTCTTCTGGGCATAAACCTCCCCTCACCCGTGGAGGCCCTCTCGTGGCTCCATCCTCCAGTCCCATTTTGTTTCCAAAATATGCCGACACCTCCGGGTATTGTGCTTCTTCCTTCTTCTCTGCTTCCCTGCGCTCTCAGGAGCTGCAAACTGTGTCCCGTCTTTTCAAACTGTTCCCTCTTAGGAAGGGTCCCTTGTTAGCCATCCCTCGGAATCAGGGCTGGGTAACATGCAGCCTTCCAGTCGTTATTGGACTGTATCTCCCATGCCTGCTTGCCATCATACAGTACTTGACTCTGAAGGATCATGGGAGCTGCACTCCAAGGACATCTAGATGGCCACTCGTTGGCCGCGCCTGTTTGAAATGGGTGGTTCTCTGCTTTGTCCCTCTCTTTCTGTCTTCTTCTGTTTCCCCTTCCTCTGATTCTCACCTTCCTTCCTAGGCACGAGGCAGAGAGGCTGGAGCAAGAGGCCCGAGGACGTCTGGAGAGGCAGAAAATTCTAGACCAGGCAGAGGCCGAACGGGCCCGGAAGGAGCTGCTGGAACTGGAAGCGCTGAGGTGACACAGTGGGATTCAGGCCAAAGAGACCACTAAGAGAATGAATGCTTAGGGTCAACCTTGCTGGCCAGGGCAAGCGAGATTCCATTTCCCCGCTTCTCTCTCCTCCCGACAGCACGGCCGTTGAAAGCACCGGGGCAGCAAAGGCTGAAGCCCAGTCGCGAGCAGAGGCCGCCCGGATTGAAGGCGAAGGGGCAGTCCTGCAGGCCAAGTTGAAGGCAGAGGCTACCGCCATAGAAACAGTGAGTCTGCTGCTCCTCCCAGGAGTCTTTGACAGTCTGGCTTTCCACTTGGCACTAAGTGAATAGATCTATGCTGCAGTTATACCAGTGTGATACCACTTCAGTTGTATCGGCTCTGTCCTACGAAATCCTGGGGTTTGTCATTTAATGAGGGACTTGGAACTCTTTTTGTGTAGGTGAGAGGAGCGTGCTACGGTGCCTCAGCACACAATTCTGAGTATCTCATCAAACTGTAAATCACACAAGTTTTGTAGAATGGAACCATGATAACTGAAGGACTATCCATCTGCCAGCACTGTAGTGTGCAAAGAGATACTAAGATTCTACTTGCCTCTTTTGCACTGTGGGCTGAAAAAACATAGTCCTTCTTCAAAATGTACCAACTTGCGCCAGTCCTGCCCGTTTGCACGATCCCTACCAGTTTACACTACCTTTTGCTTTGCTTAACTCCAAACTTTCTTTACCTGCAGCTGTAGTCTGATTTAGTATACTGTACCTTCTTTTGTTCCCTTTTCTAAATAATAAGAATAAGAATAAGAATAAAGTTAAATGCAGTTCCTATGTTTATAGCCAGAATATTGGGGCACTACCTCAATATTTGTGGAATTACTGCATTTATTCAAAAACTGGAAAAGCCCCTGATGTTGGGAAAGTGTGAAGGCAAGAGGAGTAGGGGACGACAGAGGACGAGATGGATGGACAGTGTCTTCGAAGCTACCAACATGAATCTGACCAAATTCCTGGAGGCAGCGGAAGACAGGAGGGCCTGGCATGCTTTGGTCCATGAGGTCATGAAGAGTAGGACATGAATTAATGACTAAATTCAAAAACATTAAATATAATATCCAACAAGAGTGTGGAATACATGGCCATCTGGATAAAAACAGTTCCCCAAACTCAAACTAATAGTGATGAATGTTGGAACCTGCAGTTCAAAAACACCAAGAGAGCCTCAGCTTGCCTATCCATGATGTACAAGTAGCTTGCCATCATGAAAATGGACCACATGGAGCTTGAGGATCCTTTTAATCCCAGTTGTTAGCTAGATTCATTACACTGGCCTCAATCCAATTGCAGATGCCAATTAGAGTAGACCTACTAAATCAATACATTATCTAAGTCTTACTGAATTGTGGCATCTACTCTTGTTGGGACTAATAATTGAATCTTCTGGGTACAGTCATTGGTAACATGAAGACTTATTCTGGAATTCAAGGACGTAAAGGATGACCTTCAGGAACCACAAGTATGTCCATCTATGCAGAACTGCAAACTAGACATGGGGGCTCCTTATTCGTATACAAATACGAAGCCCGCCAACACAGGCTGGCCTGATTAACACCCCCACCCAGAACCTCCCAGACCACTCACCATGCAGCGTACAGCATGCGTGGCCAGCGTCACGCTGCAGCTGAGCAGGGAGATTTGCTTTCCTTCCCCCTTGCTGGAGGGGCCAGGCAAACAGGGAAATGGGCTATAGCCGCGATTGGGGCAAACGAGATGACACCAGCTGCACACTGCGCACTAAGTGGTTTGGCAGGTTCTAGGGGTGGGTGGTAATCAGACCAGCCCCCTGTGCTGGTGGGCTTCATTATTTGTATACGAATACAAAACCCCCATGTCTATTGCAGACTGTTGGGATGAAGTTTAAACAACAGCACGAGTGTTCAGTATTTCCCATCCACTCACAGATCTTTGGATCCTGCAAGGGTGTTTTTCTCATCCTACACCAGTCACGCCGTTGTGTCTCATGATTATCTTGAGCATGCTACCTTCTCTGCTCCATTCTCCCTTGCAGACATCAGAGCTGGAGCGTCTGCGGCAAGCACGGGAACAGGAACTACGCTTCGCCAAGGCCCAGGCTGATCTGGATGTGGCCCGTGCAGAGGCTCTCGCTGCTGTCGAAGTGAAGAAATTTGAGGCTGCAATCAAGGCACTGGGGCCTGAAACGATCCGTGACATTGCCGTGGCTGGACCCGCGATGCAGGTAAGAAGCAGCAAAGGCCAGCAAGACTGGGAGGAATCGGGGGTAAATCCTCCAAATGGCTCATTTAGGCAGGGGAGGGGCCTAAGTAGCTTGGTATGGTGAAGCAGATGTTTTGTGTGCAGAAGGTCCATGATGGAAGACCGTCAAGGAGACACTGATCTCATGTGATTTTAAGGGTAGAGATGGGCTATTTGTCTTTGCATCCCTGGGGATACAAATACAAATCGCGGCGCCACGGGTGCAATGGAACCCATTCCTTCCCCCCAAAACTGGCTGGGTCCACTCATTGTTCACCGCGTGGCATTTGGCTCCGTGATCGTCACAGAAGGAGCCTGCCCAGCTTCAGTGCAGAGGTGAAAAGGGGAGTCGTCCAACTCAGCCAATGGGTGCTTGACTGCATGGGGAAGTGGGCAAGAGCCAGCCAGGCTCCTTCTGCAGTTGATGCAACAATGACGATGACGGAGCTGAGCGTTGCAAGGTGAACGGTGAGTGCACCTGCCATTTCGGGGTTGGGCAGAGGAAATGGGCTTCTGTGGCACCTGTGGTGCTACGATTTGTATTTGTATCCCCAGGGATATGAATACCAATAGCCCATCTCTATTTAAGGGTCACCCCTAGCTAATACTTGGATGAGAGACAACCCCAAAGACCTCCAACTAGGGCAAAAAGAATCCTGCCTGAAGCTCTGAAGAGCCACTGCTGCTACTCATCACTGCCAGTGTATTGGGCAAAACGGACTAAGGGTCAATGCAGTATTAAGGCAGCTTTTGATATTCCAATCTCCAGTTGGAACTGCTCAGGTTAACAGGGGCTCAGAAAGACCTTTGCCCGAGGCCACTGATTTAAATGGATTGTTGTACCTTAACTGCTTTGAATGCGTTTTGATACTGCTTATGGTTTTTTTGTATGGTCCTTTTCAGTATTTGTATACTCAATGTTACCTTAACGGCATTGAATGTGTTTTGGTACTGCTTATGTGGGTTTTTTTGTATGATCCTTTTCAATATTTGTGTAGTCAATGTTATTAGATTTTGTATTGTCCTTTAATGATGTCAGACGCTTTGGCTTACATCTTTTAAGGAGAAAGGCAGGGTAAAAATTTAGTTCTATATCCGAAATGGAAGCCACCCAGAGTAGATTCATCGAATCTAAATGGGCGGGGTAAAAGCCGGGGGGGGGGATTAAATAAATAAATATTTTCAAAATAAAAATAAATAAAACAAGTAGATTGATGAATCTGGCATAGGGAGACTCCTTAACTTCATAAAGAAGAGCTTGGGAAAGCTAGAAGATTTAACAGTCCAAAAATGTAACCTTTCTAAGCACTGGGAGAAGAGCAGATCTTGAAAGCGTTAGCGGTCATAGATTGGAGACCTTGTAACCAAGGGGCAATATTGTTTTATATTATTGGCAACAAAGAGGACTGACAGACGCGGGTGTGACTAGAAGGATGGTGGAGACCCTACTCAATGCCCATTTTCCTCTTCCCCACAGGCAAAACTGCTCCAAGGTCTGGGCATCCAGTCCACTTTAATCACAGACGGCTCCTCTCCTATCAACCTCTTCACAGCTGCAGGAGGGCTGCTGGGAATTCTGCCCAAGCCTGCTACGACTTGATTAGCAACTGAAGATGGACCACCTTCTTCCCTCCTGAGTTTTCCACGAGTGCCTTAGAGATGAAGCAACATCAGCCAAGGCTTCCTTTCTTTCTAAGCCTCCTCCAAATGTTTGCCTTTTTCATGTATTAAAAAAAAAAGTACACAGTACTATTGCAAAAAATAAACACATTATTGCAAACAGAGATAGGGTTTGTAAAATATATCCTCCCTGATTTGAGAAGAATAGCCTGGAGGGAAGTGGGAGAAGCCCCACTCTGTGAGGTCATAGAAGGTGGGTGTGACCAGGAGAGCAGCCATGTGGTGCCCAGAGGGATCTCCGCTCCTCCAGCTCCTGTGGGCTTTCGCTGTTCCCACTAAGGTGATCCTGGCTGCCCCTCCACTTGGGACAGGTGAGCCAAGATGCTTCTGCTTGGTCCACCAGCTGGCTGTTGGCAACAGGGGTCGTAATCTAACACCTTTGGAGCAAGGAAGGTGGCTATAAGTAGAGATTGTTGTAACTGTGTGGTAAAGTGCATACTTTGTATAGAGAACATCCCAGCTTTGATTTCCTCCGGCTGAAAGAATTACTAGTAACAGGCATTGCCTCTCTGTGCAGTCCCGGTGAGCTGTAGTTTGTTGGGATAGGACCACCACAGGGTTAGGGATCAGAGACAGCTTTCTGTAGCTCATCGAGGCTCCATCTGGGAGAACTTTGTTCTGATTTCTAACTGGAGAATTCTTGGAACACTATGGGCAGGAAATGTCTTGATGCAGAAGTAACAAAAAGTCTCAAGTTTGGTGCCAGTCCTTCACTAACCATGGGAGAACTACCTGAAATGAGTCTGCACATTCTACTGTACAACAGCCTTCCTCAACCCAGCCGCTTCTGCCAGAGGTGTTGGGCCATGGTGTGATCCTGCACTGGCTGTGGAGGATGGAGATTGTAGTCCCAACACATCTAAAGAGGGAACCAGGCTGAAGAAGGTGTACCATGAAAGAGTATTTGGTTCCCATTACCCATGTCACAAGAGTCTCTGTGTTTTCATGGGGGGGAATTCTTGCTGTTATCTGGCTCAGCTTGCATCCAGTTGTGCAGTAGGAATTTCTTCTCCGCATCCGTCTTGTCATGTGGATTGTGAAAGAAAATGTGTTTTATGTTCTCACTCGTGCAAAGGATTGTACGTAGGTTAGCTGTTCATGAACATGATGGATGAGGAGGGGAGAAAGCCAGGACTTTAATAGAGAGTGGAAGTCATGGTGGCTTGTGGGACAGAAGGCACGCAGAGGTGGAATGTGACAGGCAGAAAGGTAAAAGTAAAGGTTCCCCTTGACAATTTTTGTCCAGTTGTGTTCGACTCTAGGGGGCGGTGCTCATCCCCGTTTCCAAGCCATAGAGCCAGCGTTTTGTCCGAAGACAATCTTCCGTGGTCACATGGCCAGTGCGACTTAGACTTACCTTCCCACCGAAGTGGTCCCTATTTATCTACTTGCATTTGCATGCTTTCGAACCGCTAGGTTGGCGGGAGCTGATGGCTAAAGCCAGGACTTCAATAGAGAGTGGAAGTCATGGTGGGTTGTGGGACAGAAGGCACGCAGAGATGGAATGTGACAGGCAGAACCAAGGACAAAAGTGGGCATTCATACATGCATGCACACAGAGGCTGGCTCTGACCCTGCAGCACAGGCTTCTGCGGTTTAGCCCGCAGCGCCACCACGTCCCTGTGACAGGCAGAACCAAGAGCAAAAGTGGGCATTCATACATGCATGCACACAGAGGCTGGCAGACGGGCAAGCAGATAGTTCCAGACACACCAGGAGGGGAACATAGATGCGTCCTGACCCTCCACCTTTGATAGAGAGGGCAGGCAGAAGCAGGCTGGCTGTGGGTAGCCTGAACCCAGAGAAAGAGGCAATGCCCATTTGCAAAAATGAACTAGCAACCAGTCTGCAGCCGTGCTTGAGGAATGACATTTCATGGTAGCTTCTCAGAAAAGAAAATCACATGGAAGGTATGCTGTTCTTTGCACTGATAACACATAAGGAAGCTGTGGCCGTCCAGATGTTGCTGAACAACCTTCTTGGTCATCCCTCACAGTTAGGCAAGCTGTCGGGGGGGGGGAGAGGGATATTTGCAGCTCTGATTTCCAACTTCAGACAGAATCCTTTGCTCACAGGAACACCTTCCCAAAAACTGACAGGGATCTCTGGCTTTTCTGGCACAGCACCTGCAGAAAATCTGGGGGCTACCAATGAGTTGATGGACACTTCGCCACGTCAGCCCCTGTGGTTTGATTATCCTGACTCCGATAGAAAGAAGATCCTTGCTATTTATAAGCTTATTGGAGAAGAGCATGAATTTGTTGGCCCAAGTAAGAACTACTTTCTTTTAAGTCTCTTCAACTCCCAGTTCCAAAAAAATTCACAAGCAACTTAGGGGAGGAACCATAGCTGATGCTTGGGTGTGCTCAAGGCCCTGATTTCAAAGCCTGCCATCTCCAGGTGGGGCTGCCAGTCAGCATCCGATGAGACCAATGGCCTGGCAGTAGGAGACAACTTCCTGTGCCAATCTCAGAATGCTTTGGCCCACAACATGCTGGAGAGGGGCTTCTAGGAGTAACAATCTCAGATTTATTTTTCCCTGGCCCTCTTGGCTTTTTCTGATTGCATTAAATCATGTTGTCAGAAAATGATCTCCAGGGGAATCCTTTTCCTTCCGTTCTCGACAGGTGTCTTCCCCTACTTCCTACGTTATATCCTCATTGGATCCGTCATCCTCATCCTGCTCTTCTTCCTCTATCAAATAATCTCCAAACTGTACGTGCTGTATTGCCAGTACATTCATCTTTGGCTGGGGGGAGGAGGATCAGTGGTACCAAAAAAAAATAAAAAATCATTTTAGAACTCCAAAGTCTTGTGGGCTGGAGATCTTCTGTAGACTGGTACGTGTATTACACAAGTTCGAAATGTGCTCTGCCAGGCCTGCAAGGGCTTGTGGGGATCCTCTTGCTCATTTTGCGGAGGGAGGTGTCTCTGGCCGTGTGCTCTCATGCCTCACCCCAATAGCAACACTGGGATTGTTGATTTATTCTTATGCCTATTGATAGGTGCTTGCATGCACACACCAACTTCTTCCTGGTTTTCTTTTAGATTGGCAAAGAGGTCAACTATGTGATTAAGGTTCGGAAGGCGAGATACGACACTGCTGCCAACGAGCCACCTCCTGCCTCTTTCCACTTCAATAAAACATTCTCCCGTTGGATGTGGGAATGTCCTGTCCCTGTGTCCCCCCGTCTTTGGTTTAACACAGGTTAAGCCATATTAACACCGGAAAGGCAAAGCAAGGAGACATGATGAAAATGAGCAATATGGTGACGACCTGCTCCACCATGATAAAAGGAGGCAGTTCTACGTTGAGGAGCACAGAAGGTGTGTGTGGGACTGAGCAAGGAGAGGGAGCAGTAAAAACACACCAGGAGCCCTCTGCTGGCATTGGATAGCGGCTCCTTTTAATACTTTGCAGACCTTGCGTGATAAATACACCCTATCCGTCCCCTATTTACAATTGGATCCCTATGGAGTGGAGGTTTCTAGGGAGAAGAGTGAAGGGGTTATATGTGCAGAGGGGGGGGAGAGGTGGCAAGGTGGGGGAGGAAGCCCTCCCCTGCTTGGTTATTGCTAGTTGGAGGCCATACATAGGTTAGAAAGCATCCGCTGGTCACCTTCCCGATACAAGAGAATACATCTGCAAAACACTTGGGGATATAAAAGCATAAATAAATAATACTGAGAGTCACTTGTGATGCAGCAGCATCCAAAAATGCAGGATGCTGGACCGCCCTTTGAGGGTAATCCTACAGCGATGACTAATTCTGCTGATAGAACCCTAATAGTTATGGTGTGGGGAAATCCAAACCCCAGCCTATGTCTCCAGCACCTTTTAATAATACCTGGAGTCCTGCAACTATAGATGATAGCACAGAAAATAAAAACCATGTGTCTATTTTCCACTCCAGAGATGGGGATATCCGTATTCTTTTACGAATAGGAATATCTCCACCTGTATTCCACACCCTGCCATCAGCAACACTAGCATTTGCCTTTGTTCTCACATAGTGGAATCTCTCTCCACGAACACACACACTTCAAAATGATATGGGTTGACTGCTTGGCTTAGCAAAATGCACAGGTAATTGCTTTGTTATCTTAATTGTGTGCCGAGAGCCGTTTGCATAAACATAGACATTTGCGTTTTGGCAGAGGCTGTGCTCCTCTTGGTTTGTCTTGGAAGCTTTCCTCACCCATCCTAAAATTCCACCCCTTCCTGTTCTCCCGTTTTGGCCTTTTTTGCACTCAAACCAGTCTCCCCAGAAAGTAGACCCCCAAAATTCTGCCTTGGCTTCGGAGGCAACCTGTGCTTCCCAACAGAGATTTAAAAAAAATACTGACAGTTTTGCCTTTTCAGAAGAACCTCAATGCCATTAAACCAAGGGATCTGGATTTTGTGCCCTCTCAGATACTTGTGTTGGAGACCCTTCCCTTTCCAACCCCTCCCCAACCTTTTTTTTTTTTTTTTTGGCCTTAAGAAGCCCCCCCCTTCCCCCTACATCCATCCAGTCCCTCCCCATCCCTCAATAAATAAATAATAAGTTAGAGGAACAAAAAAGGTGGTCTGTCCATTGGTGGAGGAGGGAGGCCAGGTGTCAGTCCAGCGCCTGGTTCTCTGGTCTGTGCCCATTTCGTAACACTTGCTCTTTAGAGGCGGCACCCCGGGCACGAAACACACGGAAAGCTCCTCGGCAGATGAGGCCAAACCAGTAAATTTGGGGTGCCATGAGGATGGCTGATCCCAAGTTGTACTCCGCAGGGATGGAAAAGGGCACGCGATACAAGGGCATGCCAGCATATTGCCCATAGACCCAGTACATGTATGGAAAGAGCAGGATCCGGCAGCAGAAGAAGGTAATCAGCATGACCAACCCATTCACCTTATGGAGCAGGGTGTGTTGCTGTTTGTACTGTAAGGGGAAAAAGAAAGGCATTAGACCGCTTTCTCTTCATCATCCCCTTTTCTCCTCTCAGCTCTGCTTAGGAGACAATGTGGTGTAGTGGCAAGAGTCGTCGACTGAGATTCAGGAGAACCCAGCTCTCCATTAAATTTCTAGGGTGACCTTGATCTAGTCCTTCTCTCTTAGCCTGAGCTGCAAGGTCATTATGAGGATGTTGCTGGCAGGGGGAAGTGGGGGAACCACATATGCCACTTTCAACTCACTGGAGGAAAAGCAGGATTTAAATATATAATAAATACATTAAGTCACTTAATTTGAGCATATCTACATCATTAGTGGCCTTATTATTCTTAGACAAAGAAGGACAGCTTGGTCCCATTGAGCAGGGCTCCTCCCCCCCCCAGACCACCCCAAGGAATCAGGCCATACTCACCAGGATGAGCACCTTGCCGAGGCAGACAAAAGGGGTGCTGAGTTCAGCCATCAACATACAACCCAGGAAGAAGTCGCCTTTGCCCTGGCGCCACAGCTGAAGTGGGGAAATTTGAGAAGGGGTGTGTGTAACTCTTCTTGGGAAGGTCTGTTAAAGCGCAAAGCTCCCCTCTGCCCACCCCCATGAAGTTGTGCTCCATGGACTGGCACCCTATACTCAGAAACGGTGAAAATTCCTTTTTCTTTTCCTTTTTCTTTTCTTTTTCTTTTTGGTGGGCTACATTGTCCAGAATCTCCCACTCAGCATGGCCAGCGGGATGCCCAAAAATAAATGTTTCGCATCTGCCCATCCTATCCCCTTTCCTGACTCTTCTTTGTTGGCCCAGAATTTGGAATAGTGCTATTTTGGTACTACAACTCCCGGACCGCTCCCCCCTCCCGCCTGTCTGGGAGATTTGGGGAGCTGTAGCCCAGGAAAGGGAGGCTTCCCCAGTTTTGCGCTGCTAAGATTTCCCCAGCCCCACTCACCACAGACATGGGGAAGCAAACCAGCACCATGAAGAGATGGTGGACCACCATGAGGAACTCCTTGCGCAGGTAGGTCCGGATGACGGTGCGTAGCGTCCGTGTTCCCGCGGACCCTGACTCGTGCCCTTTGACTCGGTACTTGTGCCAGTGACACAGGAACATAGCATAGATGTCGTAGATGAAGTAGGGGACCGCAAACTGGGTGTAGGCAGAGGTGAGCCAGTGCCTTTAGTGGGGCAGAAAAGGAGGTTGGGAATGATGAGCAAGGCTTGGAAAAGTGGCCTTTTCAGACTGGATCTCCCAGAATTTCTCCGCCATCATGTTTACTGGAGCATTCTGGGAGCTCTAGGTTTTTTTAAAGATATTTTTCTTGATAGTTGCTGTGAGTGGTGCACAGCCACCGCAATCTCGGTAAGTGACTGCAGAACCCTGCAGAACAGGAGGACTGCAAAAGAGGAGGAGGGCCAGGAGAACCCCGCCCCCTTGGATTAGGCTCAAGGCCACAATCAATAAGTATTGATGACTAACGAAGGCACCCCACTCACAAGGGCAAAGAGAACACAGATTCTGCTTTGGCCACACTCCCCAGTGATGCCTGGTTTGTTCTCTGGTTCACAACCACCTGCTACCAAAGAACTGGGCTCCCTATGGTTCAGGTGTTGACCCATTTCCAAGCCACTCCAGTTACTGCTTCCTCCAGGACACAGGCTGACACCTCTTCCCTTCCACTTTCAGTCCTGAAACCCAGCATGGCTGGTTCCTCCACCACCAAAATCACAGCTCTCTCAATCCCCTTATGCCCGGGATCTTTTGGGCTTCCTGTGCCCTGTGTCACTGTTGACCTTCTATCTATTTAGTAGCCCATTAGTCCTATAAAAAGGCAACAAGATTAGTCTCAATAAGATCAAGACATTGGACTTTATCTCTTTCCCCTGGAGGTGACAGGAGGTGAATTCCAAGACCTTTAAAAGGTGCTTTGGTTCCTGATCTGTTTCTAAAAAGCTTGCAAGTGGATTGAGACAGAGGCGAATAGATAGCACCCTGCTTCTTTAAATATAGGCAGTGACTTGACTGTTAGCCACTTCTTTGGCTCAGTTCTCTCCATCACCACCCCTCCTTCCCTTCCCATTCCAGGCAGGCTGGCATTTTGTGCTGACAGCACACCCTGCTCTGTGCGAGGTGATTAGGCCAAACGCCAGACAAGCAGCCTGGATGCTGCAGTGCTACACAAGACTCAGGGTCCACGGGGCATTTTTGGAGGGGGGTCAGGACTGAACGTGGGCATTTGGGATTTTAGCAGAATCTGGCATGTGTGTGCATGTGTGGCGGGAGGCATATATGAGTTCCCATGCCAGAGTTTAGGAAAAAATTCCCTTTTTGGACTACAAATCCCAGAATCACCACCAGCAGCATCACAGCCACCTTAAAGGCAGTGTGCAATGTCTCAGCACTGGAATAATTTAAGGAGATACTTCAGAAGAGTTGAAAAGTTGCCAAGGAAATACAGCATAACTTCCAAGCAAAATATATTTCCAAACCACAACAGTATCCTTGGAAGAATCAGTTTAAAAAAATATGGTTAAGCTTAGTCTGGCATTGTTCATACAGTCCAAATGTCCTGCCTTATCATTTGCACCCCATTCTCTATATATGAATCAAAAGGAGTTTCACATCCAGCTGCAAAACCCAGTAATCCAGCTTCTGTATGATTTAACCCACCAAAACCCTCATCTCTTTCTGGAAGCCCTGGAATTCGTCATCAGTGGCTGCCCAATAAAGCTAATTCTGAGTCCAAAGTATGCAAATCAGCAACGGAAACAGCTGTTGCTTTAATTCCCTCTGCTGCTCCCTGCTATAGGGGAATTAGTACTTGGGCCCCACCTAGTGACTCCTGGGAGGGGGGGATTAATCCCAGCTAAATTCATTAGTGTGAAACAAAACCGTCCCGACGACAAAGCTAGGCAAGAGGAGCATGAACTGGAAAGAACCCCTCCTTCTCTCTTTCTCCCAGCACCCTCACACACACTGCCGTCTTTCTCCTGCTTCTGTTCCTCAAAGTCCCTCTGTGTTTATAGTCCTGCTTGTCCTGCAGAGCCACCCTCTTGCCAAACTAGATTCTGCAGAGAGGCCAAAGTCTGGCAAGAATCCCAGAACCCAACAGGAACGGCATTTCCTGCCCCAAGGTCTTTCCAACACCCACTCTGGGAATTCCCCTCCCATACAGACTGGGTGGGACCTTGAGGGCCGGTGAGTCAAGGGGGCTGTCCATGGTGCTGAAAGAGAAGGCATGTGGCAATGCTTCCAAGTGTTGCAGAACCATGGACAGCGCTCTAGTTCCATCACATCAATCTGTCTCCGACATTACCCTTACTTTGGTACTGCTCACTTCAGCACCACCTTGGAGGTGTGGCAAGTGTGAATGGTTTCCTCAAGCTAAGTTCTGGTATTTATACAAATATTTTTTTAATGAGGATAGGACCAGAAGACTCTCTTCTCTGTTCTCATAACCCACTGCCTCAGCCACCCTACTGCAGCACCTCCTGCTGGTAAAACCCATTCACTGTAGCCTGGCTTCTTATCCCTGCCATTGAACGGGCCTATCCTTTGCTGCCCATCTGCCTGTAACGTGTCACTGTCATTCTGTTCTAAATTTGGTACCCGTCCCAGAGTGGGTGTCGGGTTTCTCACCAGTGTGACCTTGCCAAGGTGCTGGCAGGATGCACACAGGAAAGTAAGATTTGAAAAGGGGTAAGGCAGGTTAGAGGTTTGTTTCTGCACTGCAGCATTGCTGGGGCCATAGAGACAGTCCATGCTGACTTACTGGTCGTCGATAATGTGCTTGCAGGATGTAGAGATGATGTAGCCGACTGTGGAAGCCATGATGGCCTGCAGCGAAGAGACAAGTCTGTTGTGGGCAGGTGGGAAAAGAAGCGGAAAAATCAAGTAATTTGGTTGGCTGCATTTGCCACACATTTCCCTTTGATGTCAAAATTCTCTTGCCATTATGGTTCAGAACCCTTGCTATCAAGACCACAAGGCCTCAGATCAAGCAAAGTTTTCTTAAATCTGACCCAAGTTCCTTGCATTGTTCCAGTCCTCCTCCAATCCAGCCAAACCCTTTCCATTCCAGTTTTGCCATCCCATAACCACTGATACCTCCTGAGCCTCTGGGGGAACCAGCAACAATTGCTAGGAAGTCCACCTGCTCCTTAACTGTTCCTGAAAGGTGCAATACTGCTGCACAATCACCAGAGATGGACAGTACAGGACAAACAGCTTCTAAGTGCTAAGGTAAATCTTCTATGTGATAACAGCTAAGAGTCTTGTAGCACCTGAAAGACTACCCAGTTTTATTTGACATACATTTTTGTGGAGCTCACTTACACCTGATGGAGCAAGTTGGAGGCCACATGAGCTTATACTTAAAATGTTTAGTCTTGAAAGTACTATAAGCTTTGGTGCTTCTGCTGTGATGGATACCCCTTGGGAAATTATCAGTGATGACAGCCAACCATCACTTCACCCCACCTGACCCAAGTGTACACCACTTGATGCTCCCATGTACACCTCAGCAAAATGACCCTAATTTCCTGGAATATCTCCAACCACTGATCCTGAGGAATCCCATCTGTGGACTGCAAGGCTGTTGGCACTTGCCTCACAACTTCAAGACCTTGCCAACCCCCTCGTCCTCATCCTGAGCTCATCGACCCCTCTAGGCTTGGTTCCAAAACAGCCTGCTAAGTAAGAGGAAATCTTGGTTTCATGGATCATTGCGACCATTGGTCAACACGCTGGTATAGGAAGACCACATCCTACTTAGTTCCTTTCTTCGCTCTTAATTCATTGGCCCACTCTATTCTTTGGGACCCAGGAATTCTGCCCCAGGCAGTCTATTCTTTGGGGGCTCTCTTCACTTACTGACAACCCTACCGATCCTTTAGAGCGCAACGTCCCAAGTCAGGACTGAGTAGTGTAGTGGTCCAATAAAAGGCTGTAACTCCTTGCATCCCACACTGGCTTCAATGGACTTGGGGACCCTTGGCTCTTTACCACTGGATTCTTGGACTCATGGAAGTGAAACTAACTACACACACCTATCCTTTTTAGACCTACCACTCCTTCAGGAAGAGTCTCCTTTCCAGCCCCTTTTTTTGCCAGACGGCTGGGGACCCCATTTCCCCTACCCTCTCCTCCAGCCAACCTGCCTTTCCCCCCTCCCAGTTCCTGGCCTCTTACACCTGATGAACGCTGCCTGATCACCCACCCTCCTGATAACGAGGGCTACCCACCCACCACAGATAGAGATCCTGAGGCTGGCTCGCTGCCGCTTCCACCACCACCACCACCCCCGTTTTTTTTTCCTCCTGCATTCTTGGTTACCTGGCTGAGACGATGACGGCGTCGGCCTCCTCCCATCGCAGCCCCGGCAGCCACTTGAGGCCGTGCTTGGACAACAAGAAGAGGCCGGGGAAGACAATGCCCCCCGCTACCAAGGCCTGAAACATCTCGCTCCGGCTGCAGGGTTGGGGCGGGGAGGGGGGGGTCAGGCGGGTGTGGAGGAGGATCAGGAGGAGGA